TAGGGGTAACTACAGGAACAGCAGTCTCTGTTGGCTTCATAGCAAAGAGGTCCAGCTCAGGAGCAGCCTCTGCGCTACCTTCAGATGGGGCAAAGGGGTCTTGTAAAAAGGAGAGGGGAAATATATGTGTATGCATACTTAGGATCAGTGAGGGAGGAAGTCAAGAACAAAGCAACTACAGGCAATGCACATACTGCAAATACACGCACACACGCAAAGGAGGTTGCTCTAACATGTAACCTACTTGTCCAGACATGTTACTTATGTTTTTCCAAAATAAAGACCATCTGAAAGGCTGAGCAGTCTAGTGACTAAAGGGCAGAACTTTCAAAGGCTGTTTGACAAGGCCAAAAAAGACAAGAAATACGATGAAAGAATACCCAGTTTAAGAGGTTACTGCTTACAAAACTCAGCACTGCCAGAATAATTTATTAGCACTACTGAATAAGCATAAAGTTACTGGGACTCAGAAACAGGCAGTTTTGTTAAGCATGCTCTTCAGTCTAAGCTTTGTTTTGACCAATTGCAAACACTACGAAAATTTCAGAAAAACACACTGCCATGTAGTTTAAACAACAAAAAAACCCCACCAAAAAAAACAAACAGCAAAACAAGAGACTATCTAATGACATACAACCCACCATTTCCTGAACATGCATCAAGAGCTGCTGCTACAGGGGTTGGGGTAGCTGGTGCTGCTGCCCCTTCAGCTGCTGCAGGGGCTTCCCCAGGAGAAGCTGCAAAGGCATCTTGGGTGCAGTTTAAGAACAGAAATTAAAAGGAAAAAGGATAAAGAGAAGAAAAATATAGTAAAAGAACCAAGTTAAATTGCACAGGTAGATCCCCTTATACAACATGAATGTTGTTACTCTGACAGCAAGACAACTCATGCAGCGCAAAACGCTTTGTCTCCCCCAACCCCACATGAGCAGGTTCTAGACAGGGTTTGAAGATCAAGCTTCTTGTGTTGCCCACAGAAAGTACACTGAGTGTAAAAGAAGGTGTTGTTCTCATTGTATAAGGGTTCAGAGCAGCATGCTCATGTACTACCCAACATTAACTAATGAAGAAAGAGCAAAGGTATGGCAGTTAAGTTGGTGTTAATAAAGATATTAAAAACTTGCATGCTGAAAGCCTGTAATACATGTGATTAATCTGCAACTGTGAATTTACTTGCGTAGTGCTTTGCAAACTTAAGCACTGTTACAAATAACAATCCAATTACATTGGCAGAGTTCTGCATCTACCATTTCTAGCTTTTGAGCCAAGTCAGTCATGCAACATCTGAGAAATTGAACTTGTTTCTTAACAGTATTCCAATTGGATCTTTCTGAAGCCATAATCTGATGCATAGGTTATATTTACTCAGCTTGCTTCTGACAGATCAAGAATGTTCATCTTAACTACTGGCCAGCCATAGTTTGTATCTCCTTCTTTGAGGATCACCTCTAAGGCCAACCAGTCAAGCCAGGGAAAACAACTGTTTTGGGCTTTTGGAACAACTTGCTGATGAGTTCTTTTTGACTGTGTTTTTTTGTTTGCCAGTATATTTAAATTTCAAGCTCTGAACTTTTACAGCATTATTCCTAGGCTTAAACCACCATCTGTAGCTCTTAATTCCATAAAGCAGTCCTAATGGACAGTGCCATTTGGACTATCCTCATAGGCAAGCATTTTCTTCACAAAAAGACTGTGCAATTAAGATTAAATACTTCAAGATGTTCATAAAGGTCATTTTTCTACTGCTACAGAGTTAGCAAGTTAAAAAAAATAATCTGTTGGGGAATACTGCAATTGCACTGTCAAACTAGCACAGGAAAGAGTTTAACATGCTTTAACTTGAGTGTCAATTTTAAAATGAAAACAACCATTTTAAAAACAAGTTTGTGCCAGTTAATCTAAAAAGCTCAAAAGAACATGCACTGAAACTTCAACAGAAGAGATGAAAGCCTATTAGTCTTGTACAATAGAATTAAAATGAATTAGTAGCAAAAAAAAGGCCTGTTAATAAGCCATTTCAAATATAATTCTATTTTTCACATAACAGGGTACAACAACAAAACTGGATGGCAGTTGTGCAAGTAAAAAAATCATAATTAGTCAAACATCACAGTATAGTATGTATACCAGACACTGGCATACACTGCGTAGAAAAAATTCAACACAGAACTGGACTGAAGAGTTTTGAATTGTACTACTTGAGAACAGGCTATGCGTATGGTCATGTGTGTTGGGTTTCGCTCTACAAGGCCAGCTTTCAGATGGAGGGTGACCCTGGGCTCTTTCAAAAGAACACAATTCTACCCACACAAGCTTGTAGGCCAACTGCACAGTAGTTGGTAAACACTACTTATTATTACTTCCCAGCATGAAAGGGTAGACTCCAGATTTCATATAAAGTGGGATTTCAGAATGCATAGAGTTACTCCCAAGTTCTATGTTGGGACCACTTCAGCCTTAGCGTAACACCTATTCCTGTCCAGATGCAGAGTATTGAAGTTCCACATGCAACAGCCACAGAAATTCAGGTGGGCACAAATTCCTTCCAGCCCACAGATGGAAGGGAACAGCTAGCTTGGCACCAGCTTTATTATTTATTGCCACTTCTGAGTAAGGTTCTAGCTAAGCATTATCATTTTCTTTATCATCATACTTGGGTTAAATGGTAGGTGGGATAAACACCTAAGGTCATAATGGAATCTAAAGGAAAAATGCTATATTAAGGACTTCAAATATTAGTTACTCTGAGAAGTTCAGGAAACCTGCCTGAGCATATAGACAGACCAACCGGAACAGACGACCCTACAACTCACAGTTCAAACCAAGGGTGGGGGTTTGGGGTTTTTTTTATTTGTTTGTTTTTTAATGTTAATGCTTATCAAGTTCTTTGAAGCCTTTCAAAAGGCTCTGCTACACCTGCACAGATGCCCTCTGCTAAAATCTAGCATCACATGCAGAAATGGATACAATTAAGTACTGCATATTTTATTATTAAAGAAATAAAAATTGGGCTGTTTATTTTCTTTTTGTTTCTCCATATTGGCATAGTAACCCTACCTTTGCATATCCAGCACTGTAAGAAATCTTCTCCTTTTAAAGCAGTTGCTATATTTACTCAGTTTATGCTACTTCCTTACATTTGTGCATCTTCTGCTTCAAAAGTAAATCTAGCTTTTGACTTCTAGAATCAAGTAGCACATGATCCTCACTTGTATTTATAGACAACCTGGAAACTTAAAGAGATGTTGCTGAAACCTTAGCAAGCTCACATTGCATGGAACATCTGTTAGGAGTGATAGGTATGTGGTTTTTTTTAGGTTTCGGCAGGGATAGAGTTAATTTCCTTCCTAGTAGCTGGTACAGTGCTGTGTTTTGGATTTTGGATGAGAACAATGTTGATAACACACCGATGTTTTAGTTGTTGCTAGGTAGTGCTTACACTAGCCAAGGACTTTTCAGTTTCCCATGCTCTACCGACTGAGAAGGCTGGGGGTGCACAAGAAGTTGGGAGGGGACACGGCTGGGACAGCTGACCCAAACTGGCCAAAGGGACATTCCATACCATATGACGTCATGCTCAGTGCATAAACTGGGGGAAGCTGGCCGGGGGGGCCGCTGCTCGGGGACTGGCTGGGCATCGGTCGGCGGGTGGTGAGCAATTGTACTGTGCATCACTTGCTTTGTGTATTATTATTATCATCATATTATTATTATAATTTTATTTCAATTATTAAACTGTTTTTATCTCAACCCACGAGTTTTTCTCACTTGTGCTTTTCCAATTCTCTCCCCATCCCGCCGGGGTGTGGGGGGAGTGAGCGAGCAGCTGCGTGGTGCTCAGTTGCCGACTGAGGTTAAACCACGACAATTATGTACTGCGTAACACTTAAATTGCTAAATAAAAATAGTTCTTATTGCAATGACATCCAAACAAGGGCATTTTTAAATTCTGAAATACTGAAGTAGTGCTTCAATACATCTTGTCTGCAGCAAAGTAAGTGTTCCTGAAGAGTGGTCTGTTTAATTTCATCAATTCAGGCTTTATTTGATGCCATGGCATCAATACATGACAAAAGTTACTCAAACATGATGATACCACTGTCTTATAATCATTTAATGTATTCTGCAACATGTGACACAACCCTATGGAAAGTCACAAGTATAGGAAAGATCACAGAACTAAAGCGTACAGGTGAAAAGATTTTTTTTCTGTTTCCACAGTTTTTTCCTCTTCAGTCATCCTTCATTACTTTTTGACATTGAGAACCTGACCTGAGCTAACAAGAAATATTCCAGTAGGCTCAGTGTTAGGAAATATTCGTAAGAATTATGGGATTTTTTTTGTTGTTCTTTGTTTTTAAAAATAAGCGCTGATTTTCTATACCAGCATGTTCCAGTATAAGAGACATTCATTAGCCCTCAAGTGCCAGAAAGTCTTGATCGCTTTGCCTTTAGTTTCTTTAGAGGGAAAACCGTAGTTCTCCTGCCCGCTTACGATTCATGTCATCTGAATGCCTAATAACTGACATTTGCACAGCGTCTGCCATGACTTGTTACTTGCACTGCTCACAGTGTAATCACACAACAGAATATAACTCAACAGCACATCACTAGCATCCCAAAACACCATGTCCAAATTCTATTATTGAGATACATGGCATTTCAAGATATTTCGCCTTTCTTCTACCTTTAGATTTCTCCATCTCAGGAAAGATTCCAGCTGCACTTTGAAAACAGCCTCCTCTTGTTTCTCGTAAAAAACAAGATATGGAATTCTTCAAGTTGGGCCAAGTAACTGAAAGCTTGCCTATTAACCAGATAGAACTCTTCAAAAAAAGCGATGCTAGATCAATCCTGCATTTCTCATCTGCTTTCCAAGACCATGTTAGAGACGAAGACATAATGCAGAGCTGCTTTTCCTCTTAAAGTCCAGCCATAGGCAGCATGCAGGCTCTTATCAGCTGAAATACCAGCGACATGGCGCAGGAGAATGACAGTCAACAGTCATTCCTGCAAAGTCTGCTCCTCCTCCTCTTCTTTACTTGGCTGCCTTTTTCCCGCAGCTTTCAGCTTCATTTCCCCACCCAGCCACTCCCTGCAGACTCTTTACATTCTTTCTCCTGAGATCACTGCTCCTGTACCTTCCCCTACCGCACCTCACTGCAAGGAACCGTGTAAAGCAACTAAGAACTGGCAAGCTGCAAAAAAGTTAAGGTGACCCTGAAGACTGTATCACTAGCAGGCCTCAAAGGTCAAATACCTAGTTATTAAGTGGCACCACAAAAGCTAGAGAGCAACAGTGTCTGTCCAAAAGCTACCGCTTCTTGCACTGTACATAGTCTTAAAGTAACAAGGAATGTTAGTATGGGACATCACTTACAGCAGAGGCTTCAGGAAAAAAAAAAAGGACAAAAAAAGAAACAAAAAACCCATTAAGTAGAGAGATGGAAGTTCAATATGGACTCCAGGATCTTAAAAGGGTCAGGCCTGTGGGTGCCTTGAATGCGCTGCAAAAGTACCTTCACTGCTGAGTCTGTTTAGAGATTTTTCTTCTTGAGAATTAGAGGTTTTCAAATCCAGAAACTTGATGCTATTGTAAATAATAAAACCTTGCTTCTTCCTGAAGTGTTCTAGGAAAGAGTCAGTATTCATCTAATATACAATCCACTGAAGATTTATAGTATTTGAGCAACAAAATACATTCTCTTTAAAAGAAGAGAGCAAGTCACAGAAGTCTGGATACTGCAAAAGTAAAATTCTTTCCACATTGGAGGATGAAGGCAACTCCACTTCTTGACATGTGCCACTAAGTAATCTCATGATCAGTTAAATCTCTAGAAACTAAAAGCATCCAGCTCTTTGCCACTTTAAAAACATGGAAGTAGACACATGGTTTGGTAGCAGCCATTTTTCCGGGCACAGAATAGTGGAAGCGGTAGAAAAAAAGAAGGGTACATCTTGCTGCTGTAGTACTAGAATAGGCAAGGGTAGGTGTTTTTCTAATCTGGTTGCAAGTTTACAGTGATTTCTAGCCATTTAACTATTGTTTAATTTTTTAAAAAGTCATACCTATGCTAAATTAATAATGCAATTTCAAAGTGCTGTATCCAAGACTGGCCCGACCCCAACATCTACACACCAGAAGTTTCACGGACTATGCATCTGCAGGGGTGTTAATGAGCACAGGCCTTGGCTTCTGCAACAGGCTTCTGAGAGTAACCAACATCAGACTCTCTCTTGCTCCATGGTGTCCAGAACTGCTGCCCACGACTATTTTAAAATTACTTCTGATCTGCCTGATCCTGTGGCACTTGGACTATTATCCATCTTTGTAAAAGGAGGGCTTAAGTAGCAGGTAGCAGTTGTACTCCTTTCCTACAGCTTCTCAGCAGTTTTAGTGGGGATATCTTGGAGGTGTCTGTTGAAGTCAGTCCTAAACAAAACTTCTCACTGGGACCTTTCAGTCTTTAGGAAACACCTTTGTAATCAAACTGTTGATGTATGAGACCTCTCCAGTACTCCTGTCACTAGAGGCGATAGATGAACACACCCCGACAGAGACTATACTGGAATTCAGTTTTGATAGAAAGTAAGTTATTACTAATTCTTGACATCCGCTGTCACGCTGGAATTATGCATCAGAGGAAGAGACAACTAGAAAAATACAGTGGTCAGGTGATCTCAAACATGTTAGCAGTTTGTAAATCAGAACATTTCTCCATTAACCTGGGCTGGTATAGTATTGAAAAAGGTAATTTCTGACGTGCTATTGAGAAGCCTCCTGCTCCATAAGAGTGACAAGAAAGCTGACAACATACAGGGGCGACTTTATTCTTACTCAGGAGGCTAGTTGTTAACATTACAGACTGAAAGAGCATAACTAAATTATAAGAATATGTTTCTTATACATTAGTTGTATAGTTGGCATTTAGTACAAGTTCATTGCCACTTTAATTTACTGTTAATGCTATGTGAAATAAAACTCAGACTCAAGAATGCTGAAATATAGTAATTTCAGCTGGCTAAATACTATATTTACAGGAAAGATCCAAAAGAAACACAACACAGCTCAAGCGTGACATGTAATGAAGGGGCAGGAAGCTGCCACGTCCAACCTCTCCAGTGCAATAACTATGAAAGTACAACTGCTTTTCCCCAAAATTGTAGTACAGTGCATTGTTATTGAATAATGTGGAAAGAATACCTGCTTACCCCAGTGTGGGCCTGAAAACTAATGTTCTTAGCTGCTCAACCATAAGGTAACTCAGTCTTAAGTGTGTACAGTTTTCCATTTCCATATATATGCAGAGGAGTCTATTAGCTAAAAGCACAGCAAACAAAGAGGTAGTTGGACAGTTTACATTTCCTGTTCCATCTAGCATCCAACACACAGGCACTTCTGGTATAGTTAGTTAAATTAAAGGCCTTGTTACAATAGTTGAACTCAATATTGCTTCATCTACCTTATAAGCTGGCGTAGAGCACTAGAGCAACCAAACTAACCTCCAAAGAGATCCACTTCAGCAGTGGCAGCAGTAATAGTTGTAGTTGTAGCGGCAGCAGCTGAAGTAGTTGTAGTATCAGTAGTTGCAGCAGTAGTTGCACTAGGCTCTGGGGCAAATGGATCTGAAATCTGTGGCTCAGAGGTAACACCGGAAAGTGCAGCCAGATTATCTATATGCAACCGTATAACGAAGATCAAACAGGAAAAGTAAGGGGAAGAGGGAGAGAGACCACAATCACTCAACTCCAGAAAGTTGGAGCTTCTAATAAGGAGTCTTAACATTCAAAAGGCTTAGAAATCAAAAATATTACTCACCCTCTCCCAAGAGGTCTAGTGATTGTCCATTAAAATGACAGCAGAATAAAGAAACAGACCAATTAGTGGAACTGCCAGACTGAAGATGTTCATTAGCCATATGTTCATTCTCTAAGTGACATGTCTAGGTTAAACATAATTTCTGCACTTGATTTTCCAACATTCAAGAAGTTATTGTTACATGACAAAGCTCATTCTGTTTAATAGCTCTATTCAAAACAGAACCAGTATATAAGTTTCACATATTTGATAAGTTCCTTAATATCTAATCAGCAAGATGTTCAAACACTGGTAGTATTTATCACTTCTGTTTTACACAGCTGGTTTTCTTTTCTCAAACTGTAACAGAGAGAACCAAGTAGTGGCCTGTAAGGGTTGACAGAAAGGTCTCCTACCTTTTGCTACCCCAGGATAAAGCCAAGAACCCCTTCTTTAGAAGCCAAATTCACCACTATACTAGTTCTCTTTTGCATTTGGCTTAGCAGTGTGAAAGTAAGACCAGAAGTAGGTAGACTTCTTTGAAGTTTATGAACAGCTAACATCCCCCAAGAACACTGAAAATTTTAAATGCAGGTTCCTGGGCCTAACAGCACACAGATTGAAGACTTTCACCAAGTGAAAGCATACATGGGAAGAGGGAGCCCCAATGAACCCCAGTGCTCACATATAAAGTGCTTACATACAGTAAACAGGCATAGTTGAAGCTTATTTAAATCAATGAGCTATTAGCAGAATATACTCAGATACCAAAGAGAATCTCAAGATAATTCTGCTTAGTTGCAAGTCTTTTCTAGACCAAAGTAGTCAGAAAGCGGTCAAAATCAACATTACATTCATTAAAAGTAGACAATTCAGCTTACTGTTCTGCCAAAGTGAGCTGTTGTGATCCACCCATCAGCCCTAGAACCCTTCACAACACTGGCTCTGAAGCCAGGGTACTCTAGCAGAGAACAGCTTGCAAATACAGTGTTAAGTTACTTCAGGATACAATACGTGGCATCCCTACTGCCCCAAGTATATTCTGAGAGTATTCTGAGAGGCAGACAGGCTGTGGTTCTTGTACTTGAGACAACTGTTCAGCAAAAAAAAAAAAAAAAAAGAGCAGCTCCTCTTTGAAAGCTTTTTCCTGCATTTGTGATAGAGCAAGCGTACTATGCAGAAACAACCACCTCTGTTAACACTTGCTATGAAGAGAATGAATGATTGACAGCATAAGCAGGTTGGCTCTGTTCCAACTTCAGTTCCTTAGTCAACTGTTTTTGGAAGCCACTGAAGCATCTTTACCGACAGACTTTCCTACAGTTTGATGTCCTCTGAGATCAGTCAGATTGAGCTCAAACACAGAGGAAGCTTTGCCTACATAAAACACAACTCTAAGCTATAAAGACCTGTGAAAACTAACCAGTTTGGTCTATTACATTTTTATGCTGCAGTTAGACTAGTCTGAGCTCAACAACTACCTGTTTACTAACCAGTAGCTCCGTGCTGCTCCTAGATTCATTGCACACCTAACAGGGTCATGAGTTCATCTGATCCACACTGAACAGCAAGCAGAGAGTCCAGATGCTTTACTGTGGGTCAGTATGTAGGAAGCAAAACGCTGTGAGCAAGCGCAGCTCAGTCTTCACAAGTTTGTCTTTATTTTACAACACTTGTTAAAAAGGCACCAAGAAACTACATGTAGGTATTTTCGTAATTGGTTCCTCGGGAGAGCTCTACTTGAGACTGACTGCACAAGCTGAGGTAAGTCAAAATACCATTCTGAAAGAGCGTAACAGTGTATTAAAAATGCAGCACTCTGGTATCTCATTACTGCACACCAGGAGGACGTCTCACAGCTAGACTTGAAATAAACAACTGTTGGCAAACTTTTGCCTTCTACTAGCTAATTCTTCAATGCATTTTTGTTATCCAGTTATGTTATAGATCACATCACAGTGAAATTACAATTATCCAGCATCGCAATCTACACTTACTCGTAATATGGGAAGGATTAAAACCAATGCTTTATTGTATAGTAATATTAAATTAACAATACTAATAGCAAATCCATGTTCTAGGGCACACTGCAAGGTAGCTCAGAGCAGAAATTCAAGTCAATTTCCTTTATATCCGAGAGTCAGACCTCATAAGGATGCAGAATTTGACCTACTGTATTTTTTGTAATACTACAGTCTAGTTTGCCTGCCAAATGCCTATCTATTCACCTTGCGGTATGCTGCAGGCAACTTATTACCCTACCTTGATCATCTCCTGTTAGCACAGAAGTGTAGATTTTCACAAGTTATAGTTCATTTGCTAGATGACTTATTGTATTCAGAAATACAGTAAGTATACAACAAAATAGACAGTGTACTGTATCAACCACTAAATATACAGTATACTATACCGAATATATGGTATATGCCAGAATACATAGAATCTACACTGTCAGTGAGACTGAGAAAGCAGGATCATTTGTTGGTGACATGTATTCCTGAGGTTTATGTGACATTTAAGAGTGCCAGTTTGATGCTGCATCTTGAAGTATTTGATATTCACATTTTCCTAGCTATTCTGAACTGCAGCAATTCTTCCAGCGTCCTCCCCCTACTACTTCTTTCTCATGAGTTCCCACGTTAACTTGCTGCGGGCCAGAAAAGCTTTGCAGACAAGGAAGAAGCTCAGGTAGCAGGGAGACACTGTTAAACATCCTCCCAAAAGTCCCGGGTGGAAGGAAGGTCATGTTGTCCAGCCTCCTGCTCAGAACAACATTACACCCACACCAGATGAGGGAAGTCATGGCTTTGCCTAGTCAGCTCTTGAAAAATCTCCAGGAATGGACAGTCCACTAGCTCGCGTTGGGGATCTGCTCCAGTACTGCCCTACCCTCCAAGTGAAATAATTTTTTCCTCATGTCCAATCAACCTCTGAAGCTGCAAACTGTTATTATTACCCTTCATTATAATCAACTATCATTTCCAAGAAAATTTTGGCTCTGCTCTGTAACTCCCATTCAAGTAGTTGTAGGCCACTATTAAGAGTCCTCTTTAGCCTCCTCTTTGCCAGATGAGAGGCCCAGCTCTCTCAATCTCCCGTTCAGCAGATGTGCTCTAGATCCCTGGTGTCCTGGTAGCCCTCTGCCAACCCCCTCTCCCTTAAACAGGAGACACCAGAACTGGGTGCAGTATTCCTGATGTGGCCTCACCTGCACTAATTAGAAGGCTCTGTAGTACCTGTGAGACCATACAATTTATAATGACTACCGGCTTCATCCTGCAGATTTAGTTTAAATAAGTAAATAAAAAAACCCAACCCTTAACACAGGCTCAAAGGTTTCCTCATTACCAGATGAAATGTTAACGGAAATTTCAGTATTTTCACAGAGCCATTCCGGTTCTCAATTTATGCATATCTGACGTGGTGTTGGCAATTATTTAAAAGAGTTTAAAAAAAGAAAAAAAAAAGGCAAAAACAAAAGGCAGCAAGATTCCAGTGCAGTAACAGGTCATCATATCTGGACTCCTGCCAGCAGTAAAGCAGACAAACTTGAAGCTTACTAAGTTACCAAAATGCTATTCTGAAAGATAAGACTGAAGTATACTTGATGAGGTTAGCGCTAATCCCGGTCGAAGGAAAAAGGTTAGCTGTCCTTTTCCGTTGTGGAATAAGAAGAACAGGTACAATACTAGTCAACTTTAAAGTTTTCAGTAATTCAAAAGAATAAAACCACCTAAGTTCCAAACTACAGATGCTTTGTCCAAAAGAGCAAAGCAAAAACCCAAATAAATCAGCTTTCAATTGCAATGCGAATCAATATTTTACAGTATTAATGGCCATTTACTTTGCATAAATGAGCAACTGCTTAAAAAAGTTAGCTGAGAGGCCTGAGCTCTTTCAAACATCTCAAAAGCTTGTGTTCCAGTACTTGGCAATGACAAAGCAAGACAAATAGGACACAATCAAAAATTGCAGAATAATTAGTCCCAGACATCCTAGAATAGATGACTCTTTGGACTTGCTGTCTGGGTAAGATTACATTTCAGTTAATAAAATTGACACTTCTGCAAAAAAATCAATTCAAGAGATTAAATAGGAATATGCAAAACATGGTCTACATGACAGCCATAGCTATCCTGTCATAATGAAGTGGCTGAGATACAACATCATCTTTAATGAACTAAAGCTAAGAACAGAAATAGGGAATGCAGAAGCCACTAGTACCCAGCATTAGCATTCAGAGCAGAGTCAGCATGACTCAGCGTAGCATTCCTGTTTTTTTTGAGAGGGCTGATGAGTTCATTAAGCTGCTACACAAGTGAAGATCTCTTAAGATTACACCACGGTGGGTTTACAACTATGTAAGTTAAATCACATTTACTGGCCTAATTCCTTGTCTCCACAGGACAGGAGTGAACGTTGCCTACATTTATTGTGGTCCTCTTTAGATCACCAGCTGCTAGTGCTGCCTGGAACAACAGGCTCAGTTCACCGCAGAGCTCAGATTTCAGAGAGCTGGTTAGGTATTTCTATTTGAATACACTTAGCCCTCTACTTCTATTTTCATATTATTATTCTTAGCAGACAAGGAAGATTTTATTAAAAGTAAGGGTTGTCAGAGGTAATCACACTTGCAGCAGAACTAATTTGCCACCATTGGCTTTACATGCATTTTTGTTTTAAAAGATATTTTTGATCCTCCCCCTACTGATCTGTGGGCTTTGCTTTATGAACAGAAGAGTTGATTTCTGCCCTCACCTTGCCAATAAGCACACGAGCAGTTCTAGTTCTTCTGTTTTAAAGCGCCTACCCTACCTGTTCACCTTCAGCCATCCCCTTCCTGCTCACTTTTAGTCACATAATCCTGGCTCCCCCCCAGCTTTGCAATCAGGCCCTTATAAGCAGCTTATACTATTATGCATATCCCTGGAAAAAGGAGTAGCCTTTTCCTGAGAAGGGATGCCTGACTGTCAGGTCAGCAGAAGCCTGGGAGTGAGCTGGGAACATCCTGTGCTAGCAGAGAAAGAGCCAGGTTTCAGTTCAGCCAGGCAAGAAGACGGAGACTGCAAGAAGAGATGCTGACAGTGAGGTTTCTCTACCTCCCCATGAAGTGGCTCCAGCAGGGGCTGCTGGAGCTGCCTGCCCAGTAGCAGCAAAATCTGGCTGAAGATCCAGAAGATCACTGGATGGTTTGGAAGAGCTGCCAAGGAAAGGAAGAGAGATATTAAATACTAGAGGAATTTGTCCATTTTAATCAAGTTAAAAAAAAAAAATCATGACTGGATTGTAGGAATTACCCTTAGTTTGGATGACTGATGAAACCATTAAGAGAGACATTTTTTCAGGCCTTAGGATTAAAGCAGTGGCCATAAACACCTCTACTGCAGTAAGTGCCAAGAATAATTACACCCCAGGATGGGACCTTAACTTACTTCCATTAGTTGATAATGACATTGTAACAGATCTATGATACTTTTACAATCCTAAAAAAAACAACCAAACAAAAAAACCCCCCAAAACCAAAACCCAAAATCCCAGGTGGTCCCTAAGAACAGAGCAAGTAACTGCTGCTGCTGAAAACAGCCCCATTCTACTTCAATATTTCATTGTGCCATGTCAGAAAACAAGAAACCCACATTTCCAGGCAATAAATAGGCATTAGGTAGAAGAGAGTTGGTAAAACTTGTATGACTTAAGCCAGCCAGATATTTGCTTAGGAAACAAGGTCTTGTTCATTTAGAACATTTAAATAACAAACAATAGAAGCTCTTTCTTCAGTGAAGTACTTCATCTGACGTTTAACCGAAGTTAGTCACGCCTTCAAACTTTTGGTTCAAGCTTAGAGCTTTTACATGTCTAGAGTTCTATCATTTCTGCTCAGTACAATGAGCAACAGCGGTTTGTTCTGGTTTTGACTTGAAAGCAAGGTTCAGATTTTTTCATTGGTCAAATGTTTATTTTTTATTTTAATCTCCAAAAGTTCATTATTTTTGTGCTTCATTAACCGATTTGAACAGCAAGAAAAAGGAATCTTAATTCAGCAGTTTTAGAAACAGAATACCAAAGGTCAGCAAAGACTACTTTGGATTTGCACATTACTTCAGTCTGTTCAATTAAAAGTTTATGCTGGGAATGGTACAACATCACTACTACACTGAAAGCAAATCAGAGTAGCCACAATATTTTTTTTTTGTTAGCGCTCATTTGTGATCTATACTGGTAGAATAACGTAGCCCATTTAGTACCGATGTACACTACCTGTAAAGCAAGCAAAATCTTGAAGGCAAGCTTCCTGTTACAAGTGTGACTTTGGCATCTACATCAAGCTCAGTAACTCAAATGTGCTTCTTAACCTACCTGACTGGAGCAGCTGTAGATGAAGTTGCAAAAAGATCAACTGGAGGAGATGTATCAATAGTTTTTGCTGGAGTAGAACTAGGAGATGTAACAGTTGTGGCTGGAGAAGACTGGAGAAATATTTTAAATATACATTCAATATACCAGCATTTCTCCACAAACAACTCATGCACAGATTCACATACTTTAAAAATCCAATTTTGACATCAGGTCATCTTATTGTGAGCTGTTCCCCCCCTTTGAAAGAATTTAAGGAAGACTGGGCTAAGTTTTCAGAAGGTGGTGGAGCTGAGAAACTCCAAGGTGACTCCACCTAGCAATGCCTGGCTCAAGAGGAAATGCCTATTGCATGCATTCAGGGCACCTGCAGACACCAGCGGCCCATCTCATATGAGCTTTAGTGCCTTGGGTTCAAGACTCACCCAACATCTAGGCAACTAACTCAGAGACCTGTGATCTGGAGTTGCCTTACCCGCCTCTTAAAATCCCCATTAGGGTCACTAACAGATCCTGTGTGTCAAAGGATTCTCAGCAAGTTCCAAGAAAACAGTTTGCTCCCCAGCAAACTCCCTCCTCTCAGTTTTAAGACCACCCTGAAGATGGGAGGAAGAAAGAATTTTTGTGGGTTTGTTTCTACATCTGTCAAACCCTTCATTTTGTGCGCAGAATGAAATATCTGTTCGTCCACAACAGCACCTTAGTACTCTAACCATAGAAATGGTGGGAGAAGAGAAATGGTTAGAAACTAAGTTAAAAGTGTGTACGTAAACCTTCAGACTGAATAGAGTTTAAAGAGCCATCAACAGTGCTAACAGTTAAGTCCTTGGGAAGATACAAAAGACAGCTCAGCCTGTGATTTTGCTTCATCAGCTCCTCCAATTCTGGGTAAAGATACCTTAAGTATGGCAAGGACAGACACCCAGGAGAATATATTGCAACTCTTCTGTGCACTTGAAGACTCAAGTTACCTTGAAGAGTGTCAATTTAATTCTAAAAAGATACCACAAGCTTTGTTACAGCATCCCACACGTTAGAGAGATACTTTTCCTATGAAACAAGTCCTACGTTTAGTACTGTTTGCCATTCTGACCACTTCCAAGAAAGAAAAAGAATGGCAAATTTGAATTGATTTTTTGAGTTCTGCTACTGCCATCCCATCATCACAACTCTAGCAGGAGATGGATATAAGCTTTCTAGACTCTCCCCAAGTGTTTACTAAGGTTTGAGACTAAATTGGTCCAAATTCTTCATGTGAACCAGGGAAGAGGGGGGTTACTTAACATTGTAAAAACACTTTCTAAGCCATAATGTAGTTCTCACCAACTGCTACCATATTGGGTAAGAGGATTTTTGTTTGTTTGTTTTTTTAAAAGTGCTCTTTGGAAAGAAGTTGAAGAGCTTTCACTAGAATCAACCATTGAACCGTCTCCCTCAGATTCAGAAGTTTTCATTGAGTTTTTCCTGCACAACACCTGTTATTAGACACAGAACTACAGCACCTGGCAATGCTTCAGGGATACCAGGAACTACTATTACTAACACCGTAAAGCTCATTATTTTATCTGACACTCAAACCAAGACATTTTCCCTGGCAAATCTTGCTTTACATTAAGGCGAGCAGTCTCACTAATAAAGGTCAATTCTGAAATTAGGTGTATCAGATGAAAGTTTTCTTGGCTTTTCACATAAATATGGTTTTAGAAGAGTCAGCACTTCCTCCTAAAAAGCTGCAAATGGAGTGAAGAATTTGGAGAAATAGCACAGAGTAAGTTTCTCCCTCACTCAAGGATTAAAAAAAAAAAAGTTGAGACCAAGCTATGGGTATCTTATGTTTTCCACAAAGCGTGACCATCAAATCCCACACTGGTTTAAGTACTACAGTCCTTCAGAGTAGGGTAGCAAAGTGCTTTTATAGGGCCATTATTTACAAGGCCATTTAAAGATGCAACTTTGCCACTTAGGTAGGGCCTAGGTGGTGAAGTCTAAAAAGCAGATTAGGAGATGGAAATTTAACTCCTTATGCCCTCCTAAAGCATACCACTTGAACAAGAACTAATTAGTACAGCCATAGACAGTATTTACCTTGCTCAGAGGAGAAGGAGCCCCAGATCTAAGGAGGGGGAAAAAAAAAAAAGAGGGGGGGTGTCAGATAAGTACACTTTTGGAAACTATGTTTCTAGTCATCAAAACTCATGCAAAAAGACCAAAAGCTAAGCATGACAGCGTTCTGAAGTTCTCTACAATCGCATGCCCTCCCCATTTCTCAAACTTTCATGTGTCACTTTAGACAAGGAATGCAAATTGTTACTTCAAAGCTTAAATGAATCTTTTAAGCTAACTGGTATCACAGGATTATTTGGCTTTTTAAATAAGCTCTACTAAACGGAGGAAAGGCAGAGATGCATGCAAGGGTCTTGCGTTAGGGCCTACAGGAGCCAGTAGGAAAGAGTTACTGGGGCAAGACATCGCCATATTATAAAAACATGCAACAGCAGCAGAATAAGACCAACATGGAAGCAGTTATCTAACATAAGTCTTCTGAGGATGCATCAGCAAATTTTCAAAGTCTACAGTTCTTTTACAGAAAGTCAGAGTTACTTTAAAATAGTGATATTTAGAAGTGTGGAAACAGTTAGTTGGAAAGTCCAAGCTGAAAGTTCTGCCACATGCAAGAAAAGTCACACTAACACTAACCAACAGAGCCTTAATCATAAGTTAAAATGTATGTCAGTGGATTTGTTTACTTCCATTATTATAAGGTATGGAAATACTGCTACTTATTTTTAGAACTGCTTTGATCTAAGAGATGAAAGGAGGAGTTGAAGTTAAAACTGCACCAGTATTGAACTAGCATCCATCCTATAGATTACTTGAATTGGATAAGTCCTAGGAGCTGTAGAACTGATTAGAAGATCTGGAGCTAAGACAGAAATGACTAAAAATAACTTAATGACTATATACAAAAGCAAGCAACAGTTAAGGTACAATTTAAAGAAGGTATCTATTTCAAATTGCTCAAGCCATTTTAAAAAAAACATAACCATGTCTGCATGCAAGTCATACATAAACATATGTACTTACCCTTCGCTAAATTGCAAGGAAAGCAACAGTAAAAGAGAAAACACAGGTTTAGCTTAATCCTTCCTAGATTTAGCCATGACAAGTATCTAGTAAGAAGATGCAAAGCCATTAGAAAACAAATCAATTTTGATGATAAAAGCCTTCTTAGCAGCAGGGAAAAACAGTTCCTTCTAGGCATTTTCCATAGTTAATTTTACTTCATTTTGGAAAGTGTCTGTTTGTTTGGTGTGTTGTTTCCCCCCACCCCCCAGTAAGAAAAAAAAAAAGTTGCCATTAATACGCCTTTGTAAGGGAAAGCAAATGCCTAGTCTTACCACAGCTTATTTTCCAGCTAAGTGACAAAAGGAGGTTGGGGGAAGCAAACCTAAAGGTCAGCTAGCCTCACATTGTTACTATTATAGCTTGATACATGGTACAACATGTATACCTACTTGTTGCCAGGTTTTTTTCCTTCCAGTGAGTTTAGATGTTGCTCAAGGGTCTCCATGAGACTGCTAGGAGCCTTGAAAGCAAAGAGAAAGTTACACTTCTAAACAGAATACATTGACTTAACGATACTTCAAAATCCAGCACCAACTCCCCTGAAGTCCACCATGTGCATGCTCATGCTGTTATTTTATTTATACCACTGTGAAAATAGTGGATTTCCATGCTGGAAGTATTCAGGCAAAGACAGCTTTTGAAAGTTAATACTGTGTCCAAATTTGCAGAGAGAAAACATTTACCTCTACTAAACAGCACCTGAAGCCTAAATCCAGGACGTGCTGCTGGTTATGCTTTGAGTCAGTGTTAAACACTGACAACACAGGCATCCACAGGGTTAATTTTAAATGTAATAGGTTCAAGGTCATCCTTCCAGTTTTGCTTTTAGTCAGGACCTCCAACATCTCTTTCATGACCAGAGGGTTAGATAATATTTGCAATCTAAACAAACCAAACCAAAAGTCCTTTCCAATGCCCCCAAAAGCAGCTACCTTTGGTTCAAGACTCCCAATGTCACAAAACCTTGTGGCTGTTTCTTCTCAAAATGGTAGCCAGGGACAGGTTACTGAGCCCAGCAGCTAACTCAAAATTCAGAAAGATTACTATTTTAGACATCTACAAAAACTAAGCTTTTTCAAGCCTCCCTGATCTTTTTGGGGCAATACCCCCAGGCATGCACTTGCTCTTACAATGGCAGATAAGAAGAGTAGTCATAAATGCAAACGACAGCGTGCTTAGCTACTCCAGTATAAAAATAGAGTTCAGATAACTAGACTCCTACAAGATCAACAAGCAAGGAGGAAACCCTTGACTATTACATGCTACTGTATCTCTCAAGGGTTTCATCAGGATTACCAGTTCATCAGTGGTACAGTCTTTAAATGGGGAATTCTCTTTATCAGTCTCTTTCAGATCAACCAAAACTCCTGACAGCAATACCTATGGTGTTTTTCATAAATTATGTCTTTAATTTCAGGGTATACATATGCATCAAAAAAGTCAGTTTCCGATGCTTGAAAACAGACTATCCACTGCTCCTATGTACAGTATGCTGAAAACCAGCTAGCTGGCTAAATCAGATGTTTCAGGATGCTTAGTACCTGCTAGTACCAATGCACAGCTAAGTACTTATAGTGTCTGCATATTAATTTTGGTATTAAAACTGAGCAGTAGGGTAACTTAACACATGCAGAATTTTTAAAAGCTCACAAAATCCTTAAATGATGGCTTGAGTTTAAATATGTCCCACATACATACGCAATGCAGAAGCATGTTAACCATCGCTGCTTTTATAGGCATATTTATTCATTTTCAACTAATTTGACCACAAGAAAGAATTTTGTTAAACACAAGTGACTTAGTTACAAGAATTCTCCAGCAGCAAGAAACAGATGAGCAAAGGCTCTCATTTGCTTAAAAAAAAAAAAAAATCAGACTTCTATGTATTCAAAAAGGCTATAGCATAAGATACAGCAGAAAGCTATGTTTCAAAAAAAAAAAAAAATCCATTTTTTTCCTGTTACCAGTTACCTCCACACACTCTGAATTGCTCTCCAATATATTATTCACAGGTTTCTTAAAAGCCAACAAGGCAATATGAAACTCATCTGTCAAACAGAATTCACAGAGGAAGCTTCAGAGAATTTCTACCCAGATGCAACAATTTGGAAATTAAATATTGTCTGGTATCCAATTTGCAACACTGAACATTGCTTAATTTCTTCTAGATACTGCTTCAACATTAGACTAAGCTATCAGTCAGCATCGTGGTGGAACCTTAGATATGGGTTGCCCACTAGCTATTTGGGGCAAAACTGCCATACTCTAAGAATTGCTAATAAATAAAAATGAGCCAAGCTCTTTAGCTGCCAAGATGCCTCCTCAGCCTCCAAAACCTTACAGCCAAACTAGAAAGTCCAAAGATGACAGCTATCAACTTGTATTTCAGTACTGTGACTGGATTTACAGAGTATGTACACACATCAAGTGTCAACACAACCAACTTCTTGCGGAATACTACTGACTGTTGCCATGGCTTGCTTTAGGAATTTAGGTATACCATTGATATTATATACAATTATATATTACTTATTAGCTGAAATTCAGTTTTATTTTTCACCTTTTATTTATTTCTCACTGAAATACACTGCCTAGGTCTTATACACAATCCACAGCATGTTGCAGATTAGCCTTAGCAAGCGAGTCCCAAGCAGCCTTTGGGAGAATACAGCTGTGAGGGACTACTTGAGAAGACCACTGAAGTGGTCAGGCAGTTGGACCAGACGATTGTTGTAGATTTCTTCCTTCCAAAGAAACTATTCTATTATATTTTAGAGCGTTGGTTCATGAGGTGAAATGGACCCTCTGGTAGCAGTAACTAAGGTGCCGCTGAGCAAGTGCAGCACTGACTGATGATGCAGAACAGGGCTTGTGCAGTCCCAGCAGGCAGCCTTTCCAGAAGGCTGACACAACACAAGCAGAAGCAGATAAAAGTGCTACAGGAATTTATAAAGCATATTTCATTAACTGAGCTTAAGGTGAGTTATTCTGGTTCAAGGACTTAGTTCATGATTGACTGGACTGCGTCAAAAAAGAGCCCCTGAAGTACAGAGTTAGGTGAACATACTACTTCAGCTATTTCAGAATTGAGTTTGGTATCCCACATGCTGCTAGAAGTCTAAGCTTTCCTCTGCTGAAAGGAATGGCCAGACTTCATAGCCCCGTAGCATCTGAAACCCATAAAGATTAAAACTCTCCACCTTCACATCATGTCTCACTTTCAGAATTTTTAACTGGCTTTTTTAACCAAGAGAACCACTATTCTGATGCTGATTTAAACCAGGCTTTCAAGAGGCTTTCAAAAACTACACATTCTTAGGTTATGACACTAAGGATTTACAACTGTTAAGCAATTTGGGCTGCTCTTCTGTTCCAATTTTACTGGCGTCAAAACTGCCACGAGTGAACAGCATGGATCTCTTCCTCCAAGTAAGTATCCTTTTCACATTAAGCACATAGCCAGGCACCCAGGCCAATTTGCAAGTGACACTGAAAATGGACCCAGCACAATAGAATTTAAGCAGCTACAGCGTAAGTGAATTATGACGTTAAAAGTTTTGATGCATACTGACAGAGAAGTTCAGCAATCAAATCACAACTTCCGCATTTAAACTTCAAGTTCACTGTACCTAGACCAAGACAGTAGTGCTAGTGCTGCTCTGAATTTCATCTCTGGACCAAGACTGTGCCAGGGAGAGATTATGAAGCAAGCCACACCACAATCTCTATGCAGTCTGTCGTCAAAAATGAACTTAAGCTACAAGCTGCAAAAATC